ATCTGAGTACTTCTACTTTTACTCAAATACAAGATCTGAGTACTTCTCCCACCTCTATTTGTTACTTTCCACCACTGAGTATTTTACTATTTTATGTGTGTAAAGAACGTTTTTTTACTTTTACTTGAGTAACATTTTGAATGCAGTACAATATCTGAGTACTTCTACTTTAACTCAAGTACAAGATCTGAGTACTTTCCACCACTGTGGAGTACCATTAAAATATTAACCTCTGAATTGTAAGGTAGAAGTACAAAGTAGAAAATAAATACTCAAGTGAAGTACAAGTAATTCAATTTAAGAATTGAAGTATAATACTTGAACTACTTGGTTAGTTTCCACCACTGCATACTACATAAAGCCCAGTAAAAACAGGATATATTAAGTATTTTATCTGAGTATTTTACTGTGTTATGTGTGTTTTCAGCAGGTCACGTGACTGTAAAATCCACGCATGCGCACACAGCTTAACTGACCTCACGCATGCGCAAAGCCTTTTCTCTGTCAACATGGCGCTGTGCAGAGGAGCAGGGTTGTTGTTAAGGACATTGTTACCGGGAAACCCTCTCCTGTTCCCCGCTGCATGCCGAACACAGAGCTCTGTAAGCGGCGTGCTGGTGCCCCAGACCTCGCTGACCAGCCCCCCGTGGCCGGAGCAGCTGCCTCCGGTGTGTGAGGCGGAGGATGCGAGGCGACAGGCCGCCGTGGTGAGCACCGTGAACGGGAGCATCGAGAGGCAGGACTACGGGCGTCTGTTCGCGGTGGTGCACTTCGCCAGCCGGCAGTGGAAGGTCACCGGAGAGGACCTGATCCTCATCGAGAACCACCTGGAGGCCGGTTGCGGGGAGACGATCCGCATGGAGAAGGTGATACTACTTTTAGATTTGTTGCTAGTGATATTGCAATATGTTTTTAGATAGATATTAAACACCTGAACTTTTGAAAGAACATCCATAACATTCATCTGATTGCAACTTATATCAATATTCCAATTACTTGTATATAGACTATGCTGCACTATTTCTATTCTATTTTATTTGTATTTACTTGCACTATTATCTGTTTTATTGTGTTGCACTGTTGGAGGAGCCTGTGATCTAAGATGTATCATTGTCATAACTACACTGTGTACAAATGAGAATAAAAGCCTTGAAAAACAATAGATAGCAATGCGTTCATTAAATAAAAATATTTAAAACGTGGAAGAACCTTATAAAATAAAATCTAGGGATGGGGGGGGGAGTTCAGCCTCCTGACAGCCTGGTGGACGAAGCTGTTTGTGATCATTGATTCTGGTTCTGAAAGGTGCTGCTGGTGGGCGCGGAGGACTTCACCCTGGTGGGGAGGCCTCTTCTGGGGAGGGATCTGGTCCGGGTCGAGGCCACCGTCATCGAGAAGACCGAGTCCTGGCCCAAAGTGCACATGCGGTTCTGGAAGAGACACCGGTACCAGCGCAAGATGATCATCGTGCAGCCGCAGACGGTGCTGAGGATCAACAGCATCGAGCTGGCCCCAAGACTCTCATGATGATGGACTATTCCACACAGACTGGCTGCTTTCTATTCATATTAATATGCAAATAACTGAGTTGCTTTAATGCTGCGGCGAGGTGACTCTTCTGGCAGTTGTTGACTGTTTGAAACTGTAAATAAAGATTCATCTTTTGACTGATATTTAATTATTGTGTTTTTATATTACAAAAGTCAGTGGTGGAAGACATCGAGGCAATACCGAAGTGTGCAAGAACTCTATTACAAGTAGGTATTCTGCATTACCATCTACCAAGAGGGTTTTGATTTATTTAGCTTAAGTACAAATATTTTCTGATCAGGTTGTCTTAATCGTATTCTGTATAAACTGTAAAGCCCGCTGTACCCCAATTTTTTGCTGCCTTGTACTTCTACCCCACTACAGTTCAGAGGTAGATGGTGTACTTCTACCCCACTACAGTTCAGAGGTAGATGGTGTACTTCTACTCCACTACAGTTCAGAGGTAGATGGTGTACTTCTACCCCACTACAGTTCAGAGGTACATGGTGTACTTCTACCCCACTACAGTTCAGAGGTAGATGGTGTACTTCTACCCCACTACAGTTCAGAGGTAGATGGTGTACTTCTACCCCACTACAGTTCAGAGGTAGATGGTGTACTTCTACCCCACTACAGTTCAGAGGTAGATGGTGTACTTCTACCCCACTACAGTTCAGAGTAGGGCTGTGCAATTAATCGTATTTTAATCGCGATTACGATTATGGCTTGCGACGATTATGAAAACAGCATAATTGACAAAATACGATTATTTTGCTGGGTGCGCTTCACCCCTCCCTAAAAGCCCACTCGGCCACGTGGGAGTGACATGTGTTGTGAGTGTTCAGCGCGAGCGAAGATGTCAGAACAAGAGCAGCAACTCGTTAAAAAGAAGGGTAAAACTATTTCCACTATTTGCAAGTACTTTGCCATTACATTTCACATCGCTAAAGATATGTGCCCAGTTAGCACTGTTAGCAACCAGGGCTTTAAGCAACTTGTCAACACGTTGGACAAGCGTTACGCGATGCCGTCTCGGTATTATTTCAGCAGGTCTGCGCTGCCTGCGCTATGTGACAAATGCCGTGAATACTTTGCGACCACAACGCACCTATGGTCTAGCCCAGGGGTGCCCAACCAGTCGATCGCGAGATGTGTCTAAAAATAGAACAACAATATTCTGTTTTATCGTTAATGTCCTGTAACATAATCTTCCTGTGCCAGAATAATGCACTTGAACGCGTCAAAGCTTTGTGATTGGCCGGCGTCACCCCATGTGTCGGGGCGTGGCTGACGGTCTTCAGTACAGGTGGCAATATCGTCACCTGCCTGCGCTCATCTCTGAAACCAGACCATGTAAACAGGCTGCTGTTTCTTGCAAAGCATCTTTAAGAGATGACATGAGCAGCCCTACCAGCATTTTCCATGGTGGCCTAAACATTTTTATTTGGTCTTAAATTGTAGTTCAACATTTATTTCCGGTTACTTCTGGACCATGACGGTTGGCCAGCCTTCAACGTTTAACTGAGTGGAATATGTTGAATATGTTTTACCAAAATGTTGGCTATATGTTAAGGAGTTTTCAGTAGGTTGTGACAGTGCACTGCAACATATTGGATTTAATTTATTTTGGTCTAATTTATCATTAATAATATATGTTTATATGGTTTTGGAAGTGCGCTCCAACATATTTGTTGATCTTGTTTATTGGTAAAATATTATTTGTTTTAAAGTTCAATAAATGGTCAATGAATAATCGTCAAAATAATCGTGATATCAATTATTGACCCAAATAATCGTGATTATGATTTTTGCCATAATCGCACAGCCCTAGTTCAGAGGTAGATGGTGTACTTCTACCCCACTACAGTTCAGAGGTAGATGGTGTACTTCTACCCCACTACAGTTCAGAGGTACATGGTGTACTTCTACTCCACTACAGTTCAGAGGTAGATGGTGTACTTCTACTCCACTACAGTTCAGAGGTAGATGGTGTACTTCTACCCCACTACAGTTCAGAGGTACATGGTGTACTTCTACCCCACTACAGTTCAGAGGTAGATGGTGTACTTCTACTCCACTACAGTTCAGAGGTAGATGGTGTACTTCTACTCCACTACAGTTCAGAGGTACATGGTGTACTTCTACCCCACTACAGTTCAGAGGTACATGGTGTACTTCTACCCCACTACAGTTCAGAGGTAGATGGTGTACTTCTACCCCACTACAGTTCAGAGGTAGATGGTGTACTTCTACTCCACTACAGTTCAGAGGTACATGGTGTACTTCTACTCCACTACATGTATTTAATCCCTTTACTTGGAGTAAATCCACCAGCTACCCTGCAGTATACAAAGTCATTCAAACTAGCTGCACCTTTACCAGCTTTGAGAACACTTTCATGATCAATCATTATAAAACATATCATATATATTATTCTGAAATGGACCAATCTGCACAACGACTACTTGATGAGTAACAGTATTCCTACTCTTGTACTTCTACCTTTACTCAAGCACACGATCTGAGAACTTCTTCCACCTCTTGTCAAAATCAATCCATTGGAGGCAATGTTTTTCACTGGAGGATAAAAAACAAATATAAGCACATTATTATATATAAGTTGCAGGAAATGAAGATACTAAAGTAAATTAGATCTAGGCCACATGCGTCAAACTCAAGGCCCGGGGGCCAAATCAGGCCCTTGGTGGATTTAATTTCGGCCCGCAGGATCATTTCTAATTGCTATTAGATCTGGCCCGCCGGTATATTGCACGCACACCTTCCCTCCATCCTGAGGGTCTCCTCCGCTCAGAGCCTGAGCCCAAACATTGATGACCTTGCACCCAAGATGAGATGCTAAGTATCTGAGCTAGCATCACAGAGCAGCAACCTGAGTTTAATGGATGTTTCCTTCTGCACTTTCTCTCTCACGACAACAGGGCATGTTTGGTTTTCTCTTTGAGGGGAATAGTTTTGTTAAAGCTGTTGTTGGCCTGTGGAGAAATGTACTCATAAGAAATGACTCTGCAGATAGAGCCGTAAGAAATGAATGCGACTGATTATTTAATGTTGTTTTTATAGGCAATAATTGAAGCTTTGTTGGTTCCACGTTTAATATGTGCAATAAGTTCATTTCAATACGTTTTGCAATAAACATTGAACCAGTCCGGCCCTCGACTAGCACCCATTTTTACATTTTGGCCCACTGTGTGTTTGAGTACCCTGATCTAGGCTAACTCTAATTTGTAACACGGTGACTTTTGACTGGGTTTAAATCTGTAATCGTTTGCAGATGAATGCTATCGAATTATTCTGAATCCGTTGTTTTTAAGTGCTAAAAGTTATGTCAAGTCACATAACACATGTATTAATAACCTGAATTAACTCCGAATGACCCACTTCAGTGCTCACTAAGGAAGTGAAGAGCTTTTCCCCCAAATCTCCGACAAAGATAAAAAACAACACACACGTGTTTTAACAGTCAGAAGTAAAACTGCTTTATTTAGAAACCTGATTGAATCGTCTCTGCAGAAGACGTTCCTCGTGAAGGCACTGTTGAACATTTCTGCTCAGTGGTAGCACGTTTACCGCTAACTCCGAACCGCAGGAGGAGATGTTTAAAAAACCAGGAGCTTGTCCAACAGGCGGGGAACAAATAATCAAAAATAAAATCGAGTGATTAGAACTAAATGAAATGCTGCTACTGATGTCAACAGGTTGGTAGAAATATCTTCACAGGTTCCCATTAGAGTCTAAATTAAGGAAATAATCACGTTAACAGTAAATCATGACGGCTTCTTTACCTTCAATCACTTTCAGGACCTTTTTTATGTCCAATAGAGGATCTAACATTTATCCCAAAGAAGATTAGTGTACCTAACATTTAAAAAGCATTCTCATCCTTTGAGGTGTTGCTATGACGAGTTAAGACAAGATGTGGTGAATCCGACAGGCCCGAGTTACTCTGCTTACCACCAAGCATACAGACTTTAAACTGGTCTCACTGCTAATCAAGTAAGTACGTTTGATTTCAAGTAAAGTAATTAAAACGAATTCTCACGGACGTGTTTTCATCTTAAGAAAATAATCTTATCAAAGGTCGACTCAAGCCAAAACAAAAATCTGAGTCTCCTCGTGTAAAAGCAGCACTGAAGGAAACTATTTCTCAAAACAAAATCTCCAGTATAATCTTCAGAAGTCCGATTAGAATTGTCCAAAAGATCGACTCCTCTTCCACAAAGTCGTCGTCGTCCTCCTCCTCCTCCTCGGCCTCAGGGGATTTCTGTTTCTTTTGTCCGTTCTCCGCGGTGTAAGAGCCCTTATCGAACGGATCCAAGGGAACCGTTTGATCGTAAAACACACGCATTTCAAACTCGCTCTCCTTGTGGCTCGGGTGTCCGTAGATCCCGATGCCCACGGGCCTGGAGAGGTCCCCCGGCACCACCACCACGTCGGGCCCACAGGTGACCGACTGCAGCTTGTACGTGTCGTAGCTGGGGCGCAGCGTTTTGTCCGAAACGTAGAGGTCCGCGTCCCCCTTGAGGCTCTGCATGTGGAGGATGATTCTGCCATCGTGGTTGAGGCGCAGGTAGCTGTAGTTCCCCGCCCCGATGTGGCCCTGGACCACGTGGAGCAGCACCCAGTGTTCAGGGAGGCCCTCGTCGTCTGAGGAGGAGCCGAAGAAGCCTTGAGCCTGGGACAGAGAGAAGGAAACAAGCAGGAGGAAGAAGCTGCTGCTCAGCTTCATGATGACGGCATCCGGCAGACAGTCACCGCCTGGCAACACCAGACAGCCTGAGAGCCAGAGGAGAGACAAATGCAATAATACATTCATTATATGTTCGTGTAATACTTAAGTTTTTCACTTTTCATAACAATACTGCACATATTTAAATGTGTTAACATAATAATAGTAACATTCAAATGACTAACCCTATATACTGCACATATTTCATTTTTCTCATTTTGTTTTATTATACCGTTTGTAGTTTTTCGGTACCTATATTTCATGTACATATTTCTCTATATTTTAACGTTATAATAGTTTTATTTGTTGGTCCTTTTCTTACAATTGATCTTTGTTGACTGTTTATGTACAGGCATATTTCTCGTATGCTTGAACCTACTTGGCAATAAACATATGTTCCTGTAATACTTGCAGTTTTCCACTTTTCATAACAATACTGCACATATTTAATTTGTTACTTATATATTATACGGTTTGTAGTTTTTTGTTAACTATATTTTATGCAAATATTTCTCTGTATTTTAATGTTATTATTAGGGATGCACGATATTGGGTTTTTGAAACCGATACCGATAACTTCCTGCTTCTCAAGACCGATACCGATAATATATATATATATTAAATGTACCTGTAGTTTTTGCACACCTGGTGGTAAAAAAAAGACTAGTAGTGAGCAAATGACATGAGCATTACTACTATGAACAAAACAAAGCCAAGAACAGTTGTTACTCTTCAAAGTGACCATATTTATTACAGTATTACAGTATTTATTACAGCCTCGTCGATAGGTAAAAGCCCCGGGTGCCTTTGCAGCTGGCTTTGGATTCGCCGCTAGTTTAGCAGCGCAGGCGTCTTCGTACGCTTTCAACACACCATCGTAGCGATGGCGATGTTTCAGGTGACTAATCAGGTTGGAAGTATTATAGCTCGTTGCCTTGTTCCCTCCTCGTGGAACTTCTGCATTTGTTAATACAAATAGCAAGCGAACTATCTAACTCTGAAACTTTGAAATAGTCCCATACCACCGGCGACATGTTTGTTTACTGTCCTGGCTTCACACCATTTACGTCACAGCCAGGCATGAGTTAGGGAGCGCTGGATTTGTGAAGAACTCCCCTCTTCCTAAACCACTAATACCACAGTACTGGCAAAATGGGAGGAGCCGAGTGAAAAACAAGCGCCCCTCATCCCAATCCACCCACACCGCAGTATGTTTTCTTTTTTTTACCCAAAAGATATATTGTATATTATCGGGGCTATTAATACTGTTATCGGGTTTATCGGGATGACGTCATAATTCCTAATATCGGGCCGATAAATATCGTGCACCACTAGTTATAATAGTAACATTAAAATCACTAACCCTATATACTGCACATATTTCACTTCTACTGTTTGTAGTTTTTCGGTACCTATATTTCATGTACATATTTCTCTGTACATATTGGTCCTTTTCTTACAATCTTTGTTGACTGTGTTTATGTTCAGGCTTATTTCTCGTACGCTTGAACCTGCTTATCAATAAACCTGTTTTGACTTCTGAAAAGGCAGCCAAACACGTTTTATATTATATAACATTTAAAAACAGCATGGGTTCAACTTGTGCTTTTCCCAATTGATCAGTGTTTTGATAGATTTGAGTGACTTTCCCACTTTGAATTATTGTTGCCACTTCTGTTGCAAAAAATAACCTGTTTTCTAACCGTTGTGCACCAGTCAATCAAATACAGAGTTTGATCCCAGATTTTTTAAAAAAAGTACATTTAAGGGTCTTGATGTACATTTCTGATCATATTTGACTTATTTTCAATTAAGTACGTTTAGAATAGTGGACTTTAACTTACAGTGGAGTTTTTTTAGTGTTATTATTAGTACTTTATGTAAAAGTTCAAAATACTACCACTGCCTAACATATAAAGAAGAACAAACCATCAATATTGTACTTAATGGCGGTGGTGGAAGTAACAAAGGACATTGCTGAAGTGAGTTTCTTTTGGAGTACTTGTACCCAACTTAAGTATGTCTATTCGAGGCTTTTTGATATTTCCACTACATTTCTAATGCAGATATGCCTTTTACTCCCCTAATAGTTATACTATCAGATGCACGCTGAAGGCTCTTTGAGCAGCTTTTCTCTCACTGATTGTGCTGTTATGTTAAATGTCTGTTTTTCATGTATTGTGTCTTGATATCTGTTGATGTTACACATGGAGCTGCTGTGATGCAAGGAGCATTTCAGACTTGATCTGACCAAGTGTTATTGTCTACACTGAGGGATCATTTTACTGCACAACCAATAGCTTGACCTTTCTACAATACAATAATATATGTTGCTGATAAAACTAACATGCTTTAAGAAATGTTTTGAATGTAGGACTTTTACTTAGTGGGGCGTTTTCTGAGTGTAGTATAAGTACACAAATATCTAAATACTTCTGCAAACACTGTGATTTTGGTTACAGCTTCTATATAAATATATGATATGTTTTATAATGATTGATCATGAAAGTGTTCTCAAAGCTGGATACTACCTGCAGTAAATACTACCCTGCAGTATACAAAGTCTGAATGACTTTGTATTCTGCAGGGTAGCTTGTGAATTTACTCCAGGTGGAACTCAAGTCTGATTTAACACTTGATTAGATTTCACATCATTCATCCACATCTGCCTAGTAACTAAAAGGTATTAAAGACATGAAGTGGAGTAAAAAGTATCGACAAAAATTGAAATACTCAGGTAAAGTACACGTTTTTAAAGTGTACTTAAGAACAGTACTTGAACAAATCCACTAAATGAGTTTACACCAGTGCCGTTATAAAGTAAAACATAATTAACCCAGGCTGCGGATGCCCTTCCTCTCAGGACAGTTTAAAATAAACCTCTGACCCGCAGCAGAGCTAAAAATAATCTGCTCGGTGCTAAATCTACCGGTGAGACCGACCTTTGATACGACGGGGAAACAACACATTTCATGTTAAAACACAGAGTATTAGCTTTAAATTATCAGCCCCAACACTTTCAAACCAGACATGTGATATAACAACGGGTTTAGTTTGTATTGTAACGCAGTTAGTGTCGATAACTTGACGTTGTGTTTTAGTTGAATGCTAACATGCTAACACCTGCCATCAGCATAAACCTGAACCCAAACCAGGAAGTGCGCCGGCCGTTGAAGCCGGTTTTTATGAATGGGCGTAGCGGCCAAACGGTGGTACTACAACTCCCGTGACGTCATTTTGGCCAACAAATAAGATAAAGATCAAATATATACTTTAATAATCCCAAAGTGGGATTTTTTTTCGTTGCAGCAGCATGTAAAACAGGGCATTACACATACTTAGAAATTATTAGAGTAGAAAATAGACAATTATGAAATATAAGAATCTCAGAATAGTAAATGAAACAGAACACAAAAGATTCATCTGTTAACTATCCGGCAAATAAAACACTATTGAAAAGCCAAATGACAGCTAACACAATATAAAAGTAGCTAATGTAATTCATTTGGGTCTAAAAAGTTGTAATATGCGCCAAAAGCTGAATCCAGAGTTACAGCCCTCCACTTTAAAGGAAAAACTCAACTGCGCATGCTCTGTGGGCCTGCATCCGGGTACTTTCTGGATCTACAGCTCCATTTTGGGCTTCAGACGGCACTGAGAAACTCTCAAAGGAATGAACGTTGTACCCAGCTCTCTTTATACAACCCAGCAAATAAGTATAATACACGATTATTTAATTACATCTGTAATTTCTATATTTGATAACATACCTACGAGTTTATATTCCGATTAGCATGAATCAGGCTACCGAAGCTAACAGCAGATTCTTACTTATTTAACCAGGTTAGCTTCTCATAGCTATCACGATGCTAACGATGCTAACTAGCTTGTACAGTTTGAGCTACATCCGCTTAAGTTTACAGAATATAGCTGCTGCCGAATAACTTAACACTTGATTTAATTAAGTTACCAATGATTATCAAACACGTACCGATAAGTAATTTAAAAGACGTTTACTCACACAGCTGTCATTTCCTAACCAACATCTTCGACCAAACAAAGTTCACTTCTTCACTTCCTTTTCCTCTCACTCACCTACAGTCGAGAGCGGATCATTAGCGACGCCTACTGGGGGACCATGGTAACTGCATTATTTAAACTTAATTAATACTAATAATCTATCTATCTATCTATCTATCTATCTATCTATCTATCTATCTATCTATCTATCTATCTATCTATCTATCTATCTATCTATATATCCATCTATCTATCTATCTATCTATCTATCTATCTATCTATCTATCTATCTATCTATCCATCTATCAATAAACATCATTATTATGAGGTTTTCTCTCTTTTTTTATGACAAATTTAAACATTTTCTAAACTCATGGCCCAATATAAATAATAATGTAAACATTCTGTCAACTAGAGTAATAATGTGGATGTTTTGAGGTGAGATTGTACGAGTTACTTAAACATGGTTGGTGAATTTCCTGATGGCATCCAGCATGGCCCGACATTGGAAAAGCAATGACATGTTCTGCTGGGCAGCAGCCAGAATGTATCGAAGCCACCTAAAACCTGTTCAGTCAATGGAGTCTGGGGGCTTTGAGGCAAGCAAAATACACAAGACTCCATATAACAGCTGCAGTCAGAAAAGGCTGTCTTACTGCAAGGTAATGTGTTGAAAATATTGTCAATTAAGTGTACACTTGAACTGATCTGATGTTTTTAAGTGGGCCTGTTTTAGGTGGCTAAAGTATACTTTTGTCCCCAGCAGTACAATGCTTTGCTGTTTCTCCAAACTGAGGACATGCAGGTAGTTATACAGCATCTGAAGTAGCTCACCCTACTTCACATCTCAGCAAGTCATCTCTCAAATGGTCCAGAATGCTGCTGCAAGACTGTTAACCAGGTCCAGCAGGATGACACACTTTACACACATTGTAAAATCCTTACATTGGCTCCTGACTCGTTTTAGAATTGACTTTAAGGTTCTGGTTATTACATATAGAGCCCTGCGTGGAAATGCACCGGAATATATATGTGACCTTCTCCATCCTTACATCGCCAGTAGGTCACTTAGGTCTTCAGACCAGGAACTACTGGCTGTCCCACGCAGTGGCGGTTCTAGACCAATTTGACTGGGGGGGCCACTGGGGGGCCAGTTATTTTCTGAGGGGGGCACAATAAATGCAGGACGAAAAAGAGAACTAGACAGTATGAAGTAATTGCGCATAAGAAAACAATGGAATACAGTTATTGGTATTTGTTTCACTTATTTATTTCAGATAGATCTTATAGTTATTACTGTTAGCTTCAGCTTAAGTTATAGTGCAATGTTTGCACTAACACCATATTTATATAAAAATAAAGGCAATGAACAGTTACATCTCTACTTTACATAAGGGTGTCTGCACAATCTCACATCACAGCAACAAAATCCTGCGGTTTTTGGCAAACCGAGTACCAGAAAATATACATTTAAAAAAAAAAAAAAAAAAAAAACCGTTTAATTGTTAGGGGGGCCACAGGGGGGGTCAGAGGTCAGTGTTAGGGGGGCACTGGCCCCCCCTAGAACCGCCCCTGATCCCGCGGTCTCGTTTAAAAACTACAGGTGACCGTGCCTTTCAGGTGGAGCTCCAACACGGTGGAACTCTCTCCCTTTAGACAGTCTCTGTAGAAGCTTTTTTTTTAACTACTGAAGAAGACCAATCTTTTGACATTGGCTTTTGTCTCTACTTGTGATGTGTCCTGTCTGTTCCTTTCAGGACTCACGTGGTCTGTGCTGTTTTTATGTTGACCTTAATGTCTGCCTCTTGTTGTTATTGTATTCATGTTTCTGTGGTCTTCATTGTAACTTTTTACTTGTGAAGCACTTGAAAGATGCTATAATTATTATCTGAACTATTCCTCATGTTGAAAATGTTACTTTGGATAACCTCCGCTCTCTCCTGGCTGCAGTGGAGTCTGTTGACTTCCTTCATGTCATGCCTTTATTTGTTTTTGAAAGTTACCATGTAAATGTATTTTTCGTAAAAGTCTTTATAGTTTTCACATTCCATCAAAAGAGAAAACTCTTCTTTATTTTATACATCACGTTTATGACTTCCTCCGGGTCTGATTGATATGTTTGTCTTAACTTTAAAACTTGCATGAATATAATGGAAACGTTTAATAAACATAATAACTGCAAATTAAAGAAACTTATTTTCCTCTTCATAATCTGCATTTTGACATTTACAATTTTATTTGAATGAACAGATAAAACAAACACAAATTGTATTAAATTCAGTAATGATGTGTCATAGCACAAGAGTTCAAAGGTTGAGAGAACTAATAAGAGTAACAATCATAATAAAATAGATAGCTTTGACAGTTTGTGTCCAAAACACTGGACAAGGACTTAAAAACGTGGATGACCTTACATTTTTTGATGTTAAACACGACCAAAACTGAAGTTATTGTACTTGGCCCGAAGAATCTACGAAACAAATTATCTAAGGATATACTAACTATGGATGGCATTAATTTATCCTCCAGTGAGACTGTAAGGAATCTTGGTGTTATATTTGATCAGGATTTATCCTTTAACGCCCACATAAAATCAATTTCAAGGACCGCCTACTTCCATCTACGTAACATTGCCAAAATCAGGCATATCTTGCCTCAAAACGATGCAGAGAAACTAGTCCATGCATTTGTTACTTCAAGGCTGGATTATTGTAACTCTTTATTATCAGGGTGTACCAAGAAGTCAGTCAAGTCGCTTCAGCTGATTCAAAATGCTGCAGCTCGTGTACTAACCAGAGTTAGGAAAAGGGACCACATTACTCCTGTTCTGGCTGCCTTACACTGGCTCCCTATAGAACACAGGATAGAATTTAAAATTCTTCTTCTCGCCTACAAAGCCCTTAATGGGCAGGCGCCATCTTACCTTAAAGAACTCATTATACCCTACTATCCTACTAGGGCATTGCGTTCCAAGAATGCAGGGTTGTTGGTTGTTCCTAGAGTCTCTAAAAGTACAATGGGAGCCAGAGCCTTTTCTTATCAAGCTCCACATTTGTGGAATCAGCTTCCAGTTTGTGTTCGGGCGGCAGACACCCTATCCGTTTTTAAGAGTGCGCTTAAGACCTTCCTTTTTGATAAAGCTTATAGTTAGGGCTGATTAGATCCAGCCCCTAGTTTTGCTGATATAGGCTTAGTTTGTCGGGGGACATCTTACTTCTTCCTTCTCTCTGTCTATACCTGTGTACTCTCACGTTCCGATTAACCCAGCTTCCCCAAATGTCTTTCTTTTTGGTGTCTATATACGCCGGGATCCGGAGTCATGGATGATCCTGCGGTCCTGTGTCCTACATCGCGAGCCCTGGATCTTGAGTCGTGGCTGTGGTCCTGGATCATAGGTCCTGGATGGATATCCTCGTGGATTCATCTTCCTATTATACACACATGCATTTCCAAACATTTGGACTACCTATGTTGCAAATGTATTATCTTTTCAATTTACACACGGCATCTATTGCACGTCTGTGCGTCCTGGGAGAGGGATCCCTCCTCTGTTGCTCTCCCTGAGGTTTCTCCCATGTTCCCTTTAAACTGTGGGTTTTCTCCGGAAGTGTTTCCTTGTACGATGTGAGGGTCTAAGGACAGAGGGTGTCGTATTGTCATACTGATATTCTGTACAAACTGTGAAGACCACTGAGACAAATGTAACATTTGTGATATTGGGCTATATAAATAAACATTGATTGATTGATGTAAAGGAGGGGGAGGGGTATCATTTATGGAGAAGGAAAGGGTTCTTTTAAATCAGGTAGAGCAAAACTGGGAAATCAAGGAGCCAACTACTAAGTTTAAGATTTTAACACAATGTATTCAGGAGAACATACAACGTTAGTAAGAAACTAAAATCATAGCCGTCTAAAATATCATCTCAGTACAAAGATAGTCTAAAACTATTTTAAAATACAATTAAACGCAGTTAAAACAATACAAAGAATTCAAATGCTAAAAGGGTTAAAAGTATTTTCTTCAAAACCAGAGTCTTTCCAGGGCTGCAAAGGTGCTCCGTCGACAGGTGCTGGTCTCTTAATCCCTGTTCGCCTGTGCCTCTGCTGCCTCCTTCAGTTTCTCCTCAATGTCGAGGACGCTTGCTTGGTAGGACATGTCTTCCGAGTCACTTGCTTCAGAAGCGAGGCAAGAATCCTTCCTAGCCTCGGAAAACAAAGAATGGTGGAACAGGCTAACAGGTGCGCGTCATATGTGAGGCTCCGCCTTAAATGGAGTGCGATTTCCGCCAAATATTTGGAGATTGGTCTGTGCGCAAAGCATTGTGGGGATTTTAAGACCGCGGAGGATACACATGTGCAGCCTCGAAGTACGCCGGCCTCGGTAGAATTCCAAGCATCCTGGACATTGGAACAGTCCTTCGGCGGCACTCGATGACGTAGTATGCTTGAAATAGTGGCTCTGGAGCAGCCTTCCTCGACATTGAGAAACACCCTCAGTATCCCTCTGCTGCTCTTCTCCTTCCATGTGTAGGCAGGGCTGTTGGTGCAAATTGGCTCCAGGTGTGGTCACTCATTGTTAATCAGCATGGCAACGACAAACATTTAAAAAATAAAAGCATGCAGGAAGTTAAAACCAGTTAAAAAGTTAAAGTTAAATCACACAATAAAACGGTATAAAACACACACACTTAAAACCATGCAATAATGAATAATTAAAATACATTGCCATGTGACACAGACACCAAGTTGGATGAGAAGCTAATGGACATGTGACAGCCGCTTAGAAATAAAAAATTCAACAGATGCATTTACTGATCAAAGACTGGGCTCAGAGAAATGCTTCAAGCTTCAGTGATCGTTTGTTTCCTTTTCACCAATATTTCATCGGCAACTTTCCTCACATAATGGTTTTCCTTCTTTTGTTGGCAGTTATCCTTTTTCACTATTTTCTGAAAGATATTGAAAAATAGAGGGTAATGAGAACAAATCAATACTCGGAAGCACAAAGACAAACTTGGTAATCACATCTTTGCTTTAAAAGAAACAAATAAGTTTGAAACTAAGCCTTGTGATGAAATGAAGAAAACAAATCATGTTGGAAAATGTTATGAAAGTAATGGCTTAGTATCTCAAAATAATGATTTAAGGTCACCAATTATGCAAAATCCACTTCTTCATGTCTCTTCTACATCAACACGTGTCCCCTCTTCTTCATGTCTCTTCTACATCAACATGTGTCCCCTCTTCTTCATGTCTCTTCTACGTCAACATGTGTCCCCTCTTCTTCATGTCTCTTCTACATCAACATGTGTCCCCTCTTCTTCATGTCTCTTCTACATCAACATGTGTCCCCTCTTCTTCATGTTCTTCTTCATCAACATGTGTCCCCTCTTCTTCATGTCTCTTCTACCTCAACATGTGTCCCCTCTTCTTCATGTCTCTTCTACATCAACATGTGTCCCCTCTTCTTCATGTCTCTTCTACATCAACATGTGTCCCCTCTTCTTCATGTCTCTTCTACATCAAACATGTGTCCCCTCTTCTTCATGTCTCTTCTACATCAACATGTGTCCCCTCTTCTTCATGTCTCTTCTACATCAACATGTGTCCCCTCTTCTTCATGTCTCTTCTACATCAACATGTGTCCCCTCTTCTTCATGTCTCTTCTACATCAACATGTGTCCCCTCTTCCTTCGTGTCTCTTCTACATCAACATGTGTCCCCTCTTCTTCATGTCTCTTCTACATCAACATGTGTCCCCTCTTCTTCATGTCTCTTCTACATCAACATGTGTCCCCTCTTCTCTCATGTCTCTTCTACATCAACATGTGTCCCCTCTTCTTCATGTCTCTTCTACATCAACATGTGTCCCCTCTTCTTCATGTCTCTTCTACATCAACACTGTGTCCCCTCTTCTCCATGTCTCTTCTACATCAACATGTGTCCCCTCTTCTTCATGTCTCTTCTACATCAACATGTGTCCCCTCTTCTTCATGTCTCTTCTACATCAACATGTGTCCCCTCTTCTTCATGTCTCTTCTACATCAACATGTGTCCCCTCTTCTTCATGTCTCTTCTACATCAACATGTGTCCCCTCTTCTTCATGTCTCTTCTACATCAACATGTGTCCCCTCTTCTTCATGTCTCTTCTACATCAACACGTGTCCCCTCTTCTTCGTGTCTCTTCTACATCAACACGTGTCCCCTCTTCTTCATGTCTCTTCTACATCAACATGTGTCCCCTCTGTGGAAAGAGACTCTGAAAGTTTCAGGAACAAAGATTCTCTCTCTTTTTGATCCATTTCTATAAAAACCTGTCTGAAAATGAGCTGATCAGATTTTGGCCACTTTATGATGTCATAACGATGTTTTGTCTTGAGTAACCATTAGCCAATCAGAAACCAAGGTAACCCCCCCCTCCACCTTATCACCTGAATCTCCTCCTAGAGCACCATTGAGTTCTTTGTAACCAAATGTCTCTCAGAGGGGCGTGGGGAGGGGCTCCTTATTTTCATCCAAAGTAACAGACAGAGAATCAGCACTTTGGAAACAGGGCTGAAACAGAGGGGATTATGGGTAATGCTGCAATGATCTGTTTGGTGTTTCAGCCAATCAGAGACAGGCTCTGGATATATCTGAGACCTGTGATATATTGATGAGAAACAGTATAATAGAGGACCTTTAATATCTCCTGCAAATAAATCACTAATCGACCACGTGACATTTAGTTACCTAACCCTAAAGGTAGCTGGAATGGACTTGCTCAGTTTAGAGTCATATTGATTCCTCAGTGTCTGCAGCAATCATTAAACATATCTATTTTGAAATTAGCAGAATAACAAGCCTGAACATTTTCTATATGTCTGTAGTTGCACTTTTTTTTTATGTGCACACACTAACCTACAAGTAATGAAGTTAAGTTTTCATCCTTACAATGAAGGGAAACCACTTCACTGGAAACAAAATGGTTACACATTTTAACAAAATGGTGAAACCGCACTTTAACTAAATCTACATGACATAGATGTCATACGTCTCATTAGAAACCACAACCCACATCTCCTCCTGCCTCTTCATTTCAAACGGGTGGATTTTGTGTGTTTTTTGCTCTGTAACCAAAATAGCATACCCACAAATACCGAGTCATTATTCCAGGAAGGTTTCTCATATGCCGTACTTTAACTTTTTTCTTTCGCTGGCCGCAATGGGCTTGCATAGAAAAACAAACAGTGTACAGAGTTCCTTATAATCACCTGGGAGAGCAGCCATGGCTTCTTCTGTTCTCACGTGAACTTCCTGTAGAAGAAAGCATAACAATGGGTAAAGTTAATACAATGGCTCAATTTAAACATCAGACAGGACATAAATAAAGTCTCCTGCAGTATAATATTGTGCTTTGCAAAGCAGGCTCACCCATGTCATGAAAATGACCTGCAGACACATGACGGCGCTGACTCCTCCAGGTCTCCTGATGTGCCTCTGCTGAGCGCTGCTGAATCTTTGGAACATGCTGGGTTTAGTGGCGCTATAGGAGACGCCATCATGGGACTGCTCATACGGAGAGAGAAGGCGCCTCAGAAGCTCTTTGCCGTGCCGTATGGACCTGGGAGAGGACGGGCATCACTCGTCCCTGTGGCGTTTCGACTGGGGCTGGCTGTCCACATTTAACTCCCCGTGGCGTTTCCTCACACTGAGCGGGGCGGCGACAGGGCGAGAGCTGCCAGAGCCGAGCTTATGCTGGCCTTAGAGCTTCTCGCACAGACGCGGCAGGAAATCCCATTAAGGGAACCGGACTTGTTCTGGCAGACAAACTTGTGGTAGACCTTTAGAAAGTCCTCGTCGAGCTTCTTCGGAGAGTAAGGGGCACGCACTGATGGCAGGGAGGAGTCCGAGGAAAGGTTCGGCCGGAGCCTGTGGCGACTCTTTGCTGCGGAAGCTGACTGAGGGGAACGCAGCTGTTGGTGGGGGGAAATATGGGGGTCTTGAGGGTGACGCATCCTCAGTGGCACAGTTAGCTTTTGTGGCGGGGTGGACAGTAATCTGGGCTTCGTAGGCTCTCTGGAACAGCTTTCCACAGAATGTCTTCTGTGGCTTCTGGAAGAGGCATGAGGTGGTCTGAGGTCGGTCACCCTCCTGGCCTCTAAGGAACTCTTCCTGACAGGAGCACCGTAGATGTCCAGTCTCTCTTTAACAGAGGGGGGGTCCGAAGCATACACAGAGCAGCCATCAGTCTGCAGTGGGTGTGCAGAAACAGAATGCCTTCTAGACCTGGGAGACGCGTCCAAGGAGGCTCTTGCAGCAGGATAGCAAGGTCGTGAAGGACTGAACGTGTTCATGGAGGGCTGTTCTTCAGAGACAGTGAAGGTCTCGTTCCGACAGCGCTGAATAAAATAAACAAAACATTAAAGATATAATATCAGAATCAGAAAACAGGTTTATTACCAGGTAGGTGTACTCGTACGAGGAATTTGACTTGGTGTCGTGGTGCATACAAACAATAATTAAAAACACAGGTAGAGAACTAGAAAAATATACAAAATTATTACAAATATATAGTAAAATATAACAGTATTTACTTTGCAATGGAATGAAATATGGAATAAAAATCAGCTGTAATACAAAATAATGGTGTACAGTGCATTAATGTAATGCAGTCTATGATACGTCAAGACTGAACTGTTGCAATAAACACAGAGGTCTATTTACCTGAGAGGTGTCTGTGATGCTCTGGGCTGTGTGGGAAGTCATATGAAAGTAATCAAATTAATAAATATACAGATTACAAAAATCTCTAAATAGCTATTCACGTTTTAGTTATACTTACAGCTTATTGACTCCTCTCTCAACTCTTCCACGCTCTGAGGAAAAGATAAGTGTTTCATTATAAAAGCCGTACATATAATGAATATCTGAGTTCAGTGAGGAAGTGGATGAACTGCCACCTGAATCAGAGGATTGTATTGTGTGCAGAGTATGCTCAAAGCGACCCAAACCTTTGAGTCCAGCTTGGTGAGCTCGATCTTTGACAGCGTAGCGTTCAAGGGCTTCATCGTGCAAGGAGGCAAGACAAACAACATTCACAATGAGACCAGGCCACGTGGCAATTCATTATAAACCCCTGACTTTTCACTATTTATTCATCTGTCAGATTTCTTGATTGATAATTTAGTCCAAAAAAAAACAGAAATACCTTTTTTTTTTGCAGAAAACTGTACATTTTGATATATGATGATTGGTCGTGCTTTTTACAGAGCCACGGCTTCCACAGATGACTTTTTTTATGGATTGTTTTGTCAAAGCACTTCAGATATTCATTGCTATCGGGATGTTAAGAGCATTCCATGGAATATAACAAAGTGTATCTCGAGGCGGTTTCTCAAACGTACCTACCCCACCTTTAAATAATTGTGGTGGAGTAAAAGTACAAAGTAGCAAAACATTGAAAAAGTCAAGTAAAGTAGCCTACACATATCTCACAATTCTACTTATGTACAGCACTGATTATTAAATGCGTTTGTGATCAATATGATCTGTAACATTTCTTTTTATGGATATGAAATGTACCTACAAATAAAATGAACTGCATTAGCGTTAAAGTGAGTTCAAGCTAACCTCAGCTTTGCTACGTCATGTTAACAGCCGATGGCCTCCTCAACATACCTCGATGATTCGTCCCAGAGACATTTTGTAGTGAACTTTATTAAGAGAGAATCCTTGGCTAAACAACTCGGCCGTTGTTGTTTTAAAATGCCGTTTTCTTGATGTTGATGGATAGTGAAAGCAGCAAGTAGGCCTATAGCTGATTAACAAAAGCGCTTCTCCAATTACCCCAACTATTCCGCAAATTTGACCAATCACCTTAGTCCCTGATGCCTCATCATGATGACGTCGGCTCACTTCCTTGTAAACAGAGGCCCAATCCCAAACCACGCCCTACACACTACCCCTCCGTGACGCAGTGAACTCCGTGGAGTGACACATGAGGCTCCCTCCTGTCAGATGGAGGGAGTAAACACAGCGGCAAGCTTTGGGACAAACTCCCCTCTCTCCGGCAGAAACAGGAAATGCCGTAACTGTATAATAACGGTTTCAAATCAGCATCTCTTTGACAAAATGTAAATTAATAACTCAAATAAAACTCCAAACATCTTTAATTGTGTTTTTTGTAAAGCTCTTTTAGTTTTAAACCTGATGTTTATAAGCTTCTTAGTTTTTGCAACAGTCTGTAAATATACACAACTTTATAATAAAATGCACACATTTACTTTTTTCTAGACTAAACACAGGCATGATCCTAAGTTTAGGCCAGAGTGAGAAAGATGCATGGAAAGATGAAAACATGTGCGACGCAAAAAGATCGCATTTGGCCACAGATATTTCTGCTGAAGTCCGTGCAAATCAATACACGAAAGTGCGGTAAGCTGTTTTGCACCGTGCAATATTGTGGTGGAACACAAAAGAACGTCATGGCTTGACAGGCACTTTTTTGTTGTTGCGTGTGCGTATGTGTGTAGGTCTATGTGTGTGCGCGAGCGAGTATGAGAGAGTAATAAACAAGTTTACAAATTAGAAATATTAAATTAAAATATTAAGCGTGCTGTAAGACGGTGCTTTGTTCAATGTTTTAAGGTGTGTGTGTGTGTGTGTGCCGTCATGTGTGTGTGTGCCATGTGTGGTGGTGGCAGCTCGCCCAGACGTTGAGTGTCTGACAGCTTTTGCAGACCATTGAAGAACATACATGCACACAAAAGTTTATAGCATGATGTGTTTTAAGTGATGCATTTAGCTTATTCCTCACTTTACAGTGGATCCTCGCTCTCTTTATATTGGCTTATATATCTTAGATATGTTGGAATAAATAAACACAGGGTTCGTTACATTGCGTATTTTACTGTTGCAGATGGTTTGGCTGGGAGGCTGTGGCTCAGTGGGTTAGTGCGCTGATCTTTGAATCAGGGGGTAGCAAGTTCGAGTCCCACTGCAGTCAGCATGTCGTTGTGTCCCTGGGACACTTCGCCCCGAGTTGCTCCTGTGGGGATTGTCCACAGTACCGATTCCGAATGTATGTTAGTCGCTTTGGATAAAAGCGTCTAACAAATGACAACTGTTGGTGCGTGGATGATCAAATAATAGTGTTTGATTGTATTGCCTTACGTATGCAGCTATTTGCCTGTGTTTAGAAACATAATTAAACATACCATGGACACACATTCAAACAATTTTCCATGTATTAAACATTGCAGATGAACAATTAACAAGTCTTACAGCTAAAGAAAACTACAACAATAATGTTCTGTATGATGATATCATGGAACCTGGAATTTGAACTCACACCACTTAACAATAAACTTAACAATAAACGACTGAACTGCTGTCCACTTTAGGGTAGGGCCCTTAAAGCATCCAGTGCTGCAGACAGTCCAGCAACCTGGGTATACACTGGCTCTTGATCCCTGCACTTTTACACGTCTTCTTACAATGCCTATGAGATCCTTGATCCGTTTTGTAACGGTGCTGGCTCGTTATGAATGGCACGCTCAAAGAGTTCAGCAATATCCGCATAGTTCCTTGCAATTTCTTGTTCAGCTGCTGTCTGGTGCTCCACAGTGGCAAATGGGTTTCAACAGCGACACTCGTGTCAGAGAGGACCCCACTTCCTGATGATAGCCGTCTGCAGCATCTGTAGCTCTTGTCTCTGTCTCTTTGGGCACCCACCATGAGCAAGTTGATCTGGGATACCCTTACCTTAAAAAAAACACAAAGCCATTGTTAGTGTAATGTTACATATCATGCATATCAATGAACCTCACACAGCGTGTAATCATAGCCTGCCCTTACAAAAAAGTGTACTTGTGCTATTAGTACACTTCTTACAAACTTTAAAAAGTATGTTTTTAATTTGACTGTTTATGTACTTACCAGATATATATGTTTCATGCAATAAGAGCAATCTATAAACTAGATAGTAGATATGTCTTTACTCAGACAGTTATTGAAATATTGTAATATATACATGCCACATTTAAACATTTACATCAACCTAGTGTAAAAAAGAGAAACAAATGTAGGATATAAGTACAACTTATAAAAATACATAAAGAAGGTCATTTGTTATGGGGCTGAAGTAACATTCTGAAAACTATACAAACCTTGGATTCTGTGTGCATTCCAGGACTGCACCATCCGGTCAACTCCAATGTTGGCTACCTGACAGGTAAGAGTGGACACACAATATCGTGTGATGTTGTCTTCGAGGTTTAGTTCCTCCTGGTCAACAAGGTGGTTGAGTGCGCCTTTCAGAGGGTTGTTTACTTCTGGCCACATCCTTTCTATAATATGATTCTGTAATTTAAAGTAAACAAAAATGAGAAGAGTCAAATGTAGAGAGCACATTGTAATTTCCCATAGTTCATTTCCCAATTTCGTTCCCAATTTCCGGCTTTGTATTTGATCCATTTCCTGTTGTATCCAGTTCAAAAGTACTGTGTATCTCTCCTATGTCAAGGAAAAAGATAGCAGTCCCCTAGAGAAGTTTAGTGAACGCCATGGGTCTATTGAATAATGGAATGAGATCAGAAATCTTTTATTTGTCTCGCCACAGGGTAATTTACATGATTACAGCAGATAGAGTGAGGAATAAAAGACAAAAATGGCTATGTGGGGATTGTCCACAGTATTGAGTATGTAAGTCGCTTTGGATAAAAGCGTCTAACAAGTGACATGTCATGTAATGTATGAACACGTTGATTGCAATTCAGATAAAAAAACAACTCGCCTGTGTTGACTTTGTTTGCATGTATGGCTGTCTGCCTGTGTTATTCCGGTAGTCTGCCAATTTCTCCTGCATGAAAAGAGTCAAGTAGAATTCTTTTCCATGGTCTACTCGGATTTGGTCCCACATTCCATATCGTAGGACAGCACTCCTGCAAAACAGCAATACAAAAGTCTTATGACATGTAACAGAATTTCATGTTTGTTGTTACAACCTAAGCATTGCTAAAGCGAATATTGTACGCAGTTAAAATGTTGATCTCATCAATCAATTACCAAGTAACGTACAATATACAGTGGTTACCTGTCAGTAGTTTTCGATTTACAATATTTTTCCCAAATCAAACTGTTCAAATAAAGCTACATTTAGCCATTGTGTTTTTATTTAGCTAAATGTTTACTAAATTATTTACTGTCTGCTGTTTATTAGGTTATTATTATATTATTATAACAGAAACAGGGCACTGAAACTTACTGGTAAACCTCTTGATATATGGTCAGGTTGTTTTTCACTGGCATGGTGGAGTGGCGTACAATGTTGCTGGAGAATCCGTCCACGGCAAGGACGTGGGTCACCCCATACATCACCAGTTTCTCGTTTTGGTCAATGTGTAATTTGTGACCCATGTACTCTGCACTGTATGGCACTGGATTTAAGTTCCTTAATCTCTGAGGAATCAAACGCAATGTTATTGTTCTCACAATATGTTCACAGCAATGTACAATACAGGAAAATCTATGTTTTTTAATAATACCTACACGATACCGATCTGCATGATATGGCTGGTTAGTTTCTCTGAGGACACGACCAACCCTCTGATGCTCGGATTCCTTTTGAGGCCAGGTAACCAGTCATCATTTTTCTTCCTTGGTCCAGTCTGAATTTGTAAACACAAAACAAAAACTAAATAGGACCAAGTTACGTTTTAACCGTTTGTTTTTTAGTTCTAATTGAAACCAAAAAAAAACAGAATAGTTATCTCATTATTATTTACACAATTATGTCCAAAGTTATTAGTGAGTATTTCTGTCACATCCTTGTTAAGCCTCAACTCAGCTCCTACGTCTCAAAGAAAACCCATAACTCAGGGCTCGTTACATGTGTTTGTATTGTGAGAATAATCAATATACAAATGAAACCGGAACTTTAGTCCACTGATGTATTGTTCCCCCACGGACAAATATCGGGGGTAGTAGCTTCCGGAACCGGAAGTTGCATTGTTTTTAGCATTCACAGTAGGATGTAGCATATCAAGCAGCATTAGTGAAGAGATGGATAAAAACGCGTGTAGTTACATACTAAACACACCGTCTCCAACTGCCACTCATCGATGCTAACATAGCAACTGTTACTATATGGTTAACTATCATGTAGCTATTTAAATGCGTATGAATGGATGTGGAATACATAACTATCTCTAATAAAATGAAGAACAAATCTTAAATGACTGCTAATACTTAAACTATTTTCAAAATGTGACACAATCAGAAATGAGCTATCTGAAGTCCACACACTGAGCAACAAGGTGGAGGAACTGCTGGATGCATCCCAAGGCCTGGAAGAAGTCACCAGGAAGATCTCTGACATAGTGGCAGCCAGCCAGGACTTGGTAGCACCAGAAGAGGTATTGTTTTCATCCTCTCTTTGAATAATGCTCAGTGTAACAAACAGTATTTACTATACGCAAGCATTGGGCACACTAGCCAATCAGAAGCAAGGAGGCGCTGGAGACACACCCACTTATGGAAACGAAATATACTTGTTTTAACAGTAAGAACAGAACAACGAAAAAACGAGCTGAATTTCCGTTTTTTCGTTTTGGGGCAAAATTGAAAAACAAAAAAAAGACCCGTTTCTGCTTTTTTTTTTTTTCAATTAGAACGAAAAAACAAACGGTTAAAACGTACCTTCGTCTGACGGTAATCATTTACCAGGACATTGTATTCCGCCAAAATGTACCTTTTTAAATTTCCCGCGGACGGTTGGTGGTTCTAATTATGCAGCTACCGCCTCCGACGCTGTGACTCCAGCCAATCAGATCCACGAAAGCCCTAAAAACCCGCCAAACTGAAGGAAACT